CATCTCGCACATCTCCCCATATCTCCCCCTCTCTCCCCCTCACAGCTGGCGAGCTTCGCCGGCGCACATCTCGCCACATCTCCCCATATCTCCCCATATCTCCCCCTCCACAGCTGGCGAGCTTCGCCGGCGCACATCTCGCCACATCTCCCCCTATCTCCCCATCTCTCCCCCTCCACAGCTGGCGAGCTTCGCCGGCGCACATCTCGCCACATCTCCCCATATCTCCCCATATCTCCCCCTCCACAGCTGGCGAGCTTCGCCGGCGCACATCTCGCCACATCTCCCCCTATCTCCCCATCTCTCCCCCTCCACAGCTGGCGAGCTTCGCCGGCGCACATCTCGCCACATCTCCCCATATCTCCCCATCTCTCCCCCTCCACAGCTGGCGAGCTTCGCCGGCGCACATCTCGCCACATCTCCCCATATCTCCCCATCTCTCCCCCTCCACAGCTGGCGAGCTTCGCCGGCGCACATCTCGCCACATCTCCCCATATCTCCCCCTATCTCCCCCTCCACAGCTGGCGAGCTTCGCCGGCGCACATCTCGCCACATCTCCCCATATCTCCCCATCTCTCCCCCTCCACAGCTGGCGAGCTTCGCCGGCGCACATCTCGCCACATCTCCCCATATCTCCCCATATCTCCCCCTCCACAGCTGGCGAGCTTCGCCGGCGCACATCTCGCCACATCTCCCCCTATCTCCCCCTCTCTCCCCCTCCACAGCTGGCGAGCTTCGCCGGCGCCAACTTGGTCGGCGCCTCCCTCGTCGACTCGAGCTTCCGCGACGCGGAGACAAGAGCGGCCCGCTAGACGCCAGGGGCGCCCCCCCGCTACTGAGCCCTCCTCGACTCGTCCCCACCCAGGCCTTCAAGGGGGCCCAGCTCCTGCGCGCCGACGTGCGCAACGCCGACTTTACGCGCGCGGATCTGCGGGGGGCGGACTTCACGTCGGCCAAGGTTGAGGGCGCGAGCTTCATCAAGGCACATGCATACACGCGCAAGAGCAAACGCACGCGCGCACGCACGCACGCACGCACGCACGCACGCACGCACGCACGCACGCACGCACGCACGCACGCACGCACGCACGCACGCACGCACGCACGCACAATTCAGATCACACGACTCTGCGAGAGAACCACACAAATTAGAGGTGGACGTGCGCGGGATGTCGAGGCCGGCTATTCACGCGTTGCTTCTCAACCGTTGAATATCGCCGGTTCACTGCACCACCGTGCATCACGAAGGCGGACCTGACCGGCGCCTCCTTCAAGGAGGCGCACATCGCCGGCGTCGACTTCCGAGAGGCGGCTGTACAGGGGGTCGACTTTTCTGGCTGCTTTGGTAAGGACGCCGCCCTCTTCGACCCAACTGCTATCTAAAGTTGTAAAACCGGGTAGCCATACCTACCGTGTGCAAAGCCGTATCAACGCCGTACGGCTTTATGTGTGTTGCGCATGTGGCCATGTGCGCATCTCGATACTATATGTGTTCACACTGATTTATACACAGAAGTAAGGACCACATAAAATATTGAATATATTGCTCCAATAGTTAGAGATGCGATCAGATTAATATATATTGCAATAGTTAGAGGGGCTAGGGCTGCTCCCGTAGTCCCGGCCGTTCGTTGTACGTTCGACGGACTGCTCATCTGCTGGACGTTTGAGGACACTATTACTTATACTTTTTTCTCCTGATTTTTGCCCTTCGGCGAGCGCCATGTTCGCTGCTAACCATCTCCCGGGCGCAACCAGCCGGCAGCCGACGCCTCGCCGGCCCAGCCGCCGCAGCCTGGCCTGACGCCACAGTGCTTGAAGGAGATTGAGGCCTGTCATGCTCGCAACTGTCGTGCGGTCGGACAAAAAACCCGCGAAAAAAACAGTCCAACAAACAGCTTGAGAGTGATCAATACATCAATATATATTGTCAATCGTTAGAGGGGATGCTGTCAATAATCAATATCAATAGTTACAGGGGCGAGAATCAATCTTTTATGTGGTCCTTACACAGAAGTCGCGAGAGCCGAGACACACGACAGTACTCACTCTACTCATAAGCCGTAGAGAGCACTTTTGCAAGCCCGCGCCTGCTGCCACTCCCGGATCATCCGGCGCAGCGTGTGGTTGGGGGCGAGGAAGCTGTGCACGAGCGCCTCGCCCGTCATCGGGCTCGTCGACTTGGTCGCGAGCCAGCGCTCGATCGCCGACCGCTCGTACGAATGGCCATGTCCGCCGCCATCACGGAGCAGGCGTGGGTCGCCGCCGCGTGCCACGTACTCCACCTTGGCCTCCAGCTGCGTGAATGCCTTGAGCGGCGCCATCCCCGTGAGCCCCTGCAGCTCCGCCCGCACCTGCTCGTGGGCAGCGGGACCGCACATGAGCACACCTAGGAGCAGCACGGCGCGGCCGGGCGCGCGCGGCATCGATGGGGAGCACGGCGGAGGCGCAGGCCACAAGAGCGTGGAGAAGAAGGCGGGACATGATGCGTGCAAGAGGAGGAGGCTTTCGGACAGCGCGCACCGCCCGCCGTTGCTCCGCCGACGACGCGAGGCCGTGCGCCGCGTCGAGTCGGAGGTCCGGCTCCTACGTGCGAGACATGGGGAGATATGGGGAGATATGGGGAGACATGGGGAGGTCCGGCTCCTACGAGGGGGGGCTGGGGGGGCGGTAAGCCGTCATCGCCCGGCGCTGCTTGCAGCGCTCTGGGTGGTGGTGGCGGCGCTCCAAGAGTGGTGCCATTGGGAAGAGGTTCCTCCTTTCCGCTCCCCCCCCGCAAGGCGCGAGACACACACGTGCTGAAGACGCCAACCTCAGGGCGGGAAGGCGGCATTGTGCAGCGTATTCAGAGCACCGCGTGAATACAGCGGAGAAGAATACAGTGAATACAGCGGAAGACGGCGGAATACAGCGGAGTGCGTGTCTCTCGAGTGCCGGTTGGGATGCATGAATACGTGTTCAGCTTCTAGGGTCCCGGAGCGGTGAGGAGGAGCGGCGCGCCCTGCAGTCGGCTCAGGGGCAGCCGCGCGTTGCGCGACGAGATGGCACGCTGCGCGAGCTCGCGTGCTTCGTGTGCGTTGCGGAGCGCTATCACGTCACCTGGCAGCAACGGTGTCAATGTCAGCAGCACAGCTCAATCTCTGCTGGCACCGGCCGTGCTATCACATCTGCTGGCACAACGGTGTGAGAACGGTCAATCGAGGCCGAGGTCGCCGTTGGCCGCCTCCATGTCTTCGTCGCCGTGGTCAACACTGACGCAGCGCCTATGCGTGAGAACACCCGCACGCGTGTTAGGAGGCGCGGCCCTAGAGGGGGGGGGGGGGCGTCGGACACCGCGGCTGCCGAGCCCGCGGGCGTGGCGAGTCAGGCGGCGAGTCATCGCCGATGGGGGAGAAGGGCCACTTGGACGGCGTGCCGGGCATGGTGTGCGACCGCACGATGGTCACCGCCGTCTGGTCGGGGCGCTGCGCCCAGAAGGACAATCTGGGACCAGGAGATGAAGCTCGAGCCCGCGGAGGTCCGACGCGGACCCTCCCCCCGTGGGCATGCGGAGTGCGGCGCTGGCGCAGGGAGGTGCCCAAGGGGATGGAGCTGAGGTACGAGCGCCTGCTCGCGGTCTGTGCGGGCCGCTCGTCCTCCTCGCCCTTCTTTCGTCCTCCCGTCCCTCCCCTCCACCATGGCCTTCTCGGCACTTCTTTCTCCATCCGCCTCGCCCTGCCTTTTCGTATCGTGCCATTCGCCCTCCATTCGGTGACCTCCATAGCTGTCCGCCTCCTTTTGGGAAGGCTGCGGCTGCGGCTGCTGATGCGATCGCCAAGGGCATACTGCCGGAGGAGGCGATAGCCCTCCTCAGGGAAGCCCTCGGCAACATCACCTGTGGGGAGGCGGCAACCTCTACGATGCTATCTCCGCCGCCAGGTTGCCGCCTCACTTGTGGAGAGGCAGCAGCCTCTACCACGCCATTCCCGCCGCCGCCACCACTCTACTTTGGTCTCTCCGCGATAGACCTTTGGGAGACGGTCCAGCTCTATCATGGACAGGGGCGAAAGGTGCCAGTGACCGAGTCGGTTTGGGAGAACGCCTCGTGGGCTTTCTTCAACGCCACCTTTGGCGGGACCATGTCAGAAGCTGTCTTCCGGGAAGCTGCAGCAATCGAGTTCAAGGCTTCAGTATTCGAGAAGGACAGTTTCGGCGCCTTGACCCAGCAAGGAGGAGCTCAGATATGTGAAGCATTCCTGAAGACCCTCGACCACATTGCGGACCCTGCCAATCCGCAATCCTAGCATCTCTTGCTTGCATCCATCCCCGCGTTCTCCCGGTTTGTAATTAATGTGTGGGAGTTCTGACATATACAAAATAAACCTCTCAAAGCTCACTGACACGACAAGGGCGAGGACGACACAAGGTTCTTTGCATGTATGTATGTAGAAAGATGAACAACAGTCAGGCTCGGACTCGACTCTTTGCAAGGTACCGAAAAAAGAAAGACCAGGCTGATGGCGAGAAGGGGAGCGTCAGCGCCGCTGCTCGGCCAGCGCGTCGTGCTCGGCGGCCTCTCTTCCCGCCCCGAGCTGAACGGGCAGCGGGGCGTGGCGCGGAGCTTCGAGGGCGGGCGGTACGCTGTGGCGCTCGAGGGCGGCGGCGAGAGCGTGCGGGTGCGGCCGGGTAATCTGTCGCCGGCTGCGGCGGAGCGGGCGTCGAGCGGTGCCTTGGCAGCCCCCGTTGAGGTCATCGCAGCGGCTGAGCGAGGCGAGGAGGAGGCGGTGCTGGCGTGGCTTGAGGGCGGCGGGCGGGTCAACGCGACGTACGAGAGAGGCGGCTTGAGCGGCCTCACGCTGCTGGTGGGCGCCACCATGCACGGCCACGAGCGGGTGGTCGAGCTGCTGCTGCAGCACGGTGCTAATGTCAACCTGCAGAGCAGCAAAGGCTGGACCGCGCTGATGCACGCTGCCAGCCAAGGCCACGAGCGGGTGGTTGAGCTGCTGCTGCGGCGCGGCGCGGAGATCAACCTGCAGAACAGCAGAGGCGGCACTGCGCTGATGGCCGCCGCCGGCCACGGCCACGAGCGGGTGGTGGAGTTGCTGCTACGGCGCGGCGCTGAGGTCAACTTGCAGGACAGCGAGTGCCTCACCGCGCTGATGTACGCCACTCACCACAACCGCCCCGCCGTCGTGCGGCGCTTGCTGCGGGCGGGCGCTGACACGGCGGTGCGCACCACGAGCGGCGAGACGGCGCTGCAGCTGGCCAAGGAGGAGGGCCACGCCGAGTGCGTCGAGGCCTTCAAGAAGCACGTCCAGGAGGTGTTGGCGGGACGGCCCGCGGCGACGGCAGCCGGCGGCAGAGGCGCAGGCGGCGCTTCCTCCGGCGGCGCTTCCTCGGCTGCATCGAGAGTCGCGAATCTCGCCATCACCTTGGGAACCCAGCGGGGGCTATCTCCAGCGGTGGCGGCGGCGCGGGCGTCGAGCGGTGTCGTGGCAGCCCCCGATGCGGTCGTGGCAGCGGTTCGACGGGGCGAGGAGGAGGCGGTGCTGGCGTGGCTCGAGGGCGGCGGGCGGGCCGACGCGACGTACGAGAGAGGCGGCTTGAGCGGCCTCACGCTGCTGATGTGCGCCGCTCATCACGGCCACGAGCGGGTGGTCGAGCTGCTGCTGCAGCACGGTGCTAATGTCAACCTGCAGAGCAGCAAAGGCTGGACCGCGCTGATGCACGCTGCCAGCCAAGGCCACGAGCGGGTGGTTGAGCTGCTGCTGCGGCACGGCGCGGAGAACCTCCAGAAGAGCGACGGCAACACCGCGCTGGTGCTCGCCGCTTGCAACGGCCACGAGCGGGTGGTCGACTTGCTGCTGCGGCACGGCGCTGACGTCAACCAGCAGAACAACAAAGGCGGCACCGCGCTATTGAACGCCGCCCGCAGCGGCCACGAGCGGGTGGTCGATTTGCTGGTACAGCGCGGCGCTGAGATCAACCTGCAGAGTAGCAACGGCGGCACCGCGCTGATTATCGCCGCCGGCCAAGGCTACGAGCGCGTGGTCGATTTGGCGATACGGCACGGCGCGGAGCTCAACCTGCAGGACAGCGACGGCGGCACCGCGCTGATGACCGCCGCCCTCCTCAACCGCCCCGCCGTCGTGCGGCGCTTGCTGCGGGCGGGCGCAGACACAGCGGCGCGCGCTGAGAACGGCATGACGGCGCTGCAGCTGGCCAAGGAGCAGGGCCACGCCGAGTGCGTCGAGGCCTTCAAGAAGCACGTCCAGGAGGTGGTGGCGGGACGGCTCACGGCGACGGCAGCCGGCGGCAGAGGCGCAGGCGGCGCTTCCTCCGGCGGCGCTTCCTCGGCTGCATCGAGAATCGCGAATCTCGCCATCACCTTGGGAACCCAGCGGGGGCTATCTCCAGCGGTGGCGGCGGCGCGGGCGTCGAGCGGCGGCGTGAGAGCCTCCGGTGCGATCGTGGCAGCAGCTGCGCGAGGCGAGGAGGAGGCGGTGCTGGCGTGGCTTGAGGGCGGCGGGCGGGTCAACGCGACGTACGAGAGAAGCGGCTTGAGCGGCCTCACGCTGCTGATGGTCGCCGCCCGCAGCGGCCACGAGCGGGTGGTTGAGCTGCTGCTGCGGCACGGCGCGGAGATCAACCTCCAGGACAGCATCGGCGGCACCGCTCTGATGGGCGCCGCCGACAAAGGCCACGAGCGGTTGGTCGACTTGCTGCTGCAGCGCGGCGCGGAGATCAACCTGCAGGACAGCGACGGCGGCACCGCGCTGATGACCGCCGCCTACTTCAACCACCCCGCCGTCGTGCGGCGCTTGCTGCGGGCGGGCGCAGACATGGCGCGCACTGTTGACGGCAAGACGGCGCTTCAGTGCGCCAAGGAGCAAGGCCACTCCGAGTGCGTGCGCGCCCTCGAGGAGCACTCGTCGACCGCAGCAGAGGCGGAGGGGGTTACGGCGGTCGCAGAATCAGCCGAGCAGGCCGCGGCGGCCGCACGCGAGGCGGCAGCGGCTGCGGAGGCGGCGGAGGCGCGCGATGCTGCCGAGGCGGCGCTGCGCGAGGCGGTTGAGGCGTGCGAGCGAGGCGGCGCCGATCTCGAGGCGCTCAGGGCGGCGATCAACGCGAACACCCAGGCCGCCGACGGCTCGGAGGCGCTGCGGGCGGCGCGGCAGCTGCGCGACGAGCTGGCGGAGCGAAAGGTCCGCGAGGCCAGGGCGCTGAAGCGGCAGCGGCAGAAGGAGGAGAAGGCGGCGGCGGCGGCAGCGCGGGCGGCGGAGCGAGCGGCGGAGCAGGCGGAGGAGGCGCGGGCGGCGGAGGAGGCGCGAGCGGCGGAGGAGGCGCGAGTGGCGGAGGAAGCGGATCGGGTGGTAGCAGAGGCTGCGGCGGCGCGGGCGGCGGAGGAGGCGGAGGCGGCGTCGTGGGCAAGGGAGGAGGCAGAGGCAAGGGCAAGGGAGGAGGCGGCAAGGGAGAGGGAGGAGGCGAGGATGAGGGCGGAGGCGGAGGCGGAGGCGGCGGAGGTGGCGGCGGCGGAGGCAGCGGCGGAGGCGGCGGCTGTAGAGGCGGCAGTGGCGGCCGTGGCGGCGGCGGAGGCTCAAGAGGCGGCGGCAGCGGAGGCGGCGGTGGCGGCAGCGTCGGTTTCGGCAAGTGTCGCCGCCCTCGCCGCCGCCGCCGCGCCGCCCGCCCCCGTCCCTCTCGACGAGCTCATCGCGGCGACCGACGGCTTTGCCGAGGCGCGCAAGGTGGGCGAGGGAGGTTTTGGGCGCGTCTACCGCTGCGACGCGCTGCCGTCGCTTCCGCGCGTCGCTTGCGGGTTCGCTGTCAAGACGGCGCTGGTTGGTGTCGGCGCCC